CTGTGGATGTATGATTGTTGTGGATACTACCCAAATATGGGCACTTGCGCAAGGAATACAACATCAAGCAAATGAACTCATATTTGGTCCACAATATACAACATTAAAATTAACCCAACATCTATTTTTCACAGAAACAGTTTCAACCAAAGTCCCCGAAAAGACAAAAAAAAAAACAAGAATTTAAATGCTACTTACCACAATTAAATTCATCTGAACCATCATGACAATCTTCGTCACCATCACATTTCCATGAGTAATGGATACATTCTTGATTTGAGCAAGTAAATTCTCTTTCAGAGCATGGTGAAGGTGGTGATTCAGAACCGCATAACTCCTCAGATTCATCAGAATGGTCTAAACAGTCGTAATCGCCATCACAAAGCCACCTGTTCGGCATGCAGTAGGAACCATTGCACATGAATTCAGCAGCATCACAAGTGGGAGCTGGACATCCTTCCTCATCTGAGTTATCGCCACAGTCGTCATCTTGATCACAAATCCACCTAGCAGTAATGCACCTGCCATTGCTGCATGAGAATTCATCCGAGGCACACGTTACGCCTCCTAGATAATGCAACGAGAGAGAAACAAGAATTTTATGATAATCCCAAATTCAACAAATACCAACAAGATGCGACACCATTAGACAACCTCACAATTTGTAACAACCAACTGAAACACTCACCACAATCTCTCTCATCTGCACCATTATTACAGTCAGCTTCCCTGTCGCATCGCCATGCAAGGGGTATACAAGTTCCTCCTATTTCACAACTGAAATGGTCAGAACTGCAAGTTCTAGCCTCTGAAAATTAAACAGCAACATTTTAAGAGATCAGTTACATAATCACAGCAAACTACACTGCAGTATTAATTAAATCTCATGGAATCAAGTTGATGAAAAAGTACAGCTGGAAAAGAAATTTAACATGATGTACACATTCCAACACTTTCTGATGGGGGGTAAAACACTAGTGACTATAGGGCACATGCCTTAGGATTAAATACTTTACAATCTTTGACACTGGAAGGCAGCAACTAAACTGAAAGAGCGCTGTCATCTGACATTCATAGACCGTGAGATTCATTCCACTCAACTTGGCAAACTATTTTGCATAGGTATTTCAGCGGACAAAGGCTCCCTGTTGATATTGAGACCAAGACTTGTGTTCTTTACACACAAAAAGCAGCAAACTGAAATTTAAGTAGTCCACGCCTGCAAGGAATACCAATGCTACCCTTTGACAGAATCGTAGTCCCAGCTCATATAAAAGCAGTTTCTCTTTAGAAAAGTGATTATTCTAATTGTGAAATAGAGTAAGAATCAACTCCCCAGTCATGGATTTAAATTCAAACAATAATATATTTTGTGAAATAAAATAAAAAAAATCATACTATTGCAGACTAATTAGAAAATAATTCCAAAGCTAGTCAAAATACCAGATTTTACTGGTTCGTGAGTTTCCCAGACAGCTAAAACTGAAAAACATGCAGGCAGGAAATTGGGAAGCAGCTGGTTTAGAAATTTATATTTTATCAACAAGTAAATTTGCTAATGATTGAAATTGATCAAATAATAAACCATGCACCTAATAATGACCAATGCAAAATACTAATAAGACATTAAAATGACATTTAATATCACAGTACTGGCAAAAAAAAAATATTTTTAATAACAAAATCACTGTCACTTTAGTAATCCAGCCTAGTCATTAAATTAGATAGTTTGCTCAATTGTCCTATGAACCATAATGTAAACAATGACCACTTAAAGCAAATGTCACCATGAAACATGGATTATGTGAATTTATGTGCACGGCAGGGCAGGGGATGTAGCAAAGACTGTCAGGAATTTGAGGCAACAGCTTGTTGAGAGGTACACCACAACATCGAGGTAACAATCCTTACAATTTTTTGCGACAACATGGCTACAACGATAATGCAGCCTGATTATAGTTGTATATTCATTAATAATACCATTTTCTTTGTCACATCCCAAAAAACTATGATATGTACATGCAAGTGGTATGAGCAGCACATGTTCTTACAGTGGTTGGGTATTTTCCATGATTCAAGGACAAATACATAATTTGCATAAACCTATTTAAGAACCACCGCCCTCAGAAGCAGTTTCTTTAAGATGAAAGACAGGGGCTGTCCTCACTTAACCTCACTGAGGAGTCAATGTATTACCATTTGTTTTTGTGTTTTTTTACTGAATGATTTACAGGACTCCAACATGAACTGACTTCATTTTTCATTTTACTTTGAGCAATCTAGCTAGTTCGAAATCAGTGACTGTGTTAAAATCTTTCTCTACAAGGCATCATACAATTGTTAAAGTATATATTACAAGCATATCCAGACAGTAGACCAAACATTTGGCTTCTACAGCTAACACAGACAGACTGTCCTCAAGTTTATGTTGACCTTTGAAATAGTGTTCTCTTTTTAAACATTATTAGGAAGTTGGCATATCTAGTGATGCTGCAGTGTAGGTACTGTAAATTACTGTACAATTTTCACTTCAACAATTTGCTTTTTGTAAAATTATGTAAATACAAAAAATATGCTGTCACACCACCAGGCTGTACAAGTATTCTGACTGTCTGTGAAATAGGGCACTACATAAAACAGCTTAATTTTAACAGGTAGTCTGTACTATATTAATATTTTAGGTGGATACAATATTTTTTAATATATAATATGCAACGTCACTTATTTCTTTGATAGTCGTGAAAAATTGAAAAGTGACATTGAACTGTATATACAAAGAGGACCGAGTTATAAACCAAAAACAAGTTGAAGAATTTTTCACAAGGAATGGATATAAATAGTGTTTTTTAAGAAGACACTTACGACAAATTGATTCTTCTTCATCCGATCCATCTTCACAGTCATCGTCGTTGTCACATTGCCAACTGCCTGGTATACACTTATCATTTCGACATTTGAAATCTGTTTGACTGCACGTTCTTACAGCTGTAATAAAACAGACAAATCATGCTCATTTAGTTGTAGCCTCATGTATTCAGAAACTTCATATGAGAATTCAATTATTAAACAGCATTTTAATAAGAATCTCATGAACAGTTGGCTATGAATTCCACAAAGACGAAATACTGCTCAATGACCAAATACAGAACAGGTCAGCTTGTCCTTAACGGTATCTGTCACTTGTACAGTTTACAATTAAACAGCACAATGTAAAACGACAAGGTAGGTGCAATATACACCGAGTACAAGTTCAAATCATAATATGTACATAGCATAGTCATGCCAGTGAAAGTTCACACTTTTGGATGGCTGCCAAGATAAAAACACCTCATACACACATCTAAGAATAGTTACGAGCACAATAGCACTGGTACTAGTACTATGGTTGTAATATGTTCCCACATCAAAATATGCATCAATATCTCCAACCCATCTAGGTCATTGGACACACAGACTACAAGAATATTAAAGCAGAAAGGCTACAGTTATCCAATCAGAACAGCTAAAATTGAGGGAGATATAAATTTGTATAATAAATACAAGTCAGAATTCCTGAAATTAATATTTTAAGTTCCAGTGGGTTCAACACAGATCATGGGAGATGCTGAGCATGTATTAATACCGTAAAATCTGTATTAGAAGTCACACCCATTCTTTTTGAATAATTGAGAACCAAAAATTCATTAACTCTCATATGTGTAGATGCTGTAATAGAAGCCGCATCCTCTCTGTTGCATTGTACCATTTTAATAGAAGCTGCAGCTTCTAATACAGATTTTACAGTAGTATCTACTTTCAGAAGAAAACATTGCAATGAATGACATAAAAGAAGCCTTTCTTTCAATACTGAAACTATGACATATTTGCCATTCGCATCAATGCAGGACATACATCATATAAACAGCACAAAATGACATGTGTCTTCTTGCCAGAAAACTTCATACCTCAGCTGTTTTTCTTAAGTTTCTATTGAATTCAAAGTTTCAGAATAACTGATTTTTTTCCCCTCTTAGACAACATTACTGGCGGACCAGATACATGTTTTCCCATAATGAATATTGATTTTACACAGGAACAGAGACTTTCAAATCTGACAGTTATAATCGATACACCTGCTTACAGAATAGTACAGCGAACAAGATGTATTCTATTTATACATGAACCACACATTTTCACCAAAGAAAAGTACACAAATTCATTGTTATTAATTTTAATATTCTAGCAATCCTCAGAGTCAGAACCTGATCTATATTTCCATCCAAGAACAACAGCATCACATGGTTCTTTTCTCAGCCTACTCAGGAAGTGAATTTAATACTAGCATGCCCAGAGAAATACACCAACAGTAGTCAGCTGAAAGCTCGGCCAAGTGTTTGTATGGAATATTTGTAGACGAGCAGTCTGCAACAAAATTAACTGAAACCTAGTGTGATCTACTTCGTAACTACTTGATTCAAATGAAGTTGTATGTTTACAACTCATAACGTTTCACATCGTAGAATGATCAACTGCTTGTACTATACCCAGATATTTTTTTTTAACCAGTAGAGGGACAATTTCCTTACAATGTAATGTAATGGACAACACAACATTCTGTAGTGGTTTTTTTCCCACGCCCAAACTTAAACTAGTTTAGAAAGGGTCGATTTCATTTAGCCAGTAATGTTCTCTTCAAATGGTAGAATTTCACATGCTGTGAGCTAACCAAATCCAAACAGGAGGTATCGTAACAATGGAATGCAACTTATAACAAGTTCAGGAATTTATAACTGCACTACTTCCTGGTGCTGTACTACTTGAACATTTGACTCCTTATAAGAATACTTTAAAGACATTAATTTACCGCAGAATCTTACAATGCAGGCATATACTTTCAACAAAAATAAAACTACTTGCTGTCACAGTAATCCTGTCAGTGGGGCAATGCTGATAAACAAAGGTCGAGGACCAAAGTGCAACCTGTTTTGGCCTTGACCCTTTGGTAAAAACACAAATGAAATTGGAGTTGTAGGATTTAGGAAACACTTTTTACTAATTTAGGTTGCTAACTATTTTCATATAGTGTACAGAGATTATGATACTACTAATGCAGTGCATTGTACTGTAGTTGGAAGCAGAACATATTGACGCTTGCAAATTCAAATGAACATGCATTTTATGACAGGGTCACTTACAATGGGTCGCCGGATGACTCGGAGAGATGAATTGAAGAGAGAGCCATATACACACAAAACACAGCAGTCGCATTCTACCAGAGAAACAATTTTGTGTGACCGTAATGCAAGACAAGGACATTCTCTGTCCAAATTCACACCTCAAAAGGTCTCACTTTGACAAACAAGTATACCAAAATGGCTTCCAGAAAGACCACATTGTCCAAGACAGCTAGCAATATGGCTGCATGTAGGCTGAGGGGAATGGGACCCAACAATGTCCTGCACTTGTGAAACTAAACTAAGATGACTGTATATTCTGTATAATCACCAAATGTACTAATTAAAAAATAAAATTCTAAGTTCTAGCTACTCAATTTTAAAACAGCAACAAAATAAAATTGACAACTGCTAGGTGGTCCATCATGTCTTTGAATAACTTTTAATATATAATTCAGTCACTAGTGCTATTTATTTAACTTAGAGCTTAAAGATCTGATGTGAACAGTAGATAAATCGCTTAGAAAAACAAAAATCATCAGTCCTTCAATAAGAAATGCATAATGCCACAAAGGCCACACCCACAGAAACCCAAGAATATATTTGTATAATAAATTATACGCCAAGATTGGAACAAAAAAAATTCTAAAAAAATTGGTGAAGTATAGTATAAACAAAATTACAATGGTTTGTCTTTTCTGGACATTACATGATTTTATTATTCTCATCACAAAATGAAATGTCCAAGACTAGAGCAACCTAGAAAGATGAATAAATTAATAATGAAAATTCTTGAACAATTTCCAATAAAACACTGATGCTGCTGTAGTTTACATAGACAAAATATATTTTATAAACATATATAGACTTTAGTACCATTTCTTTTAATTTTTTGCATTTTAATCAACTTTTCTGCTGTCAACTGTGTCCTAATAACATCCGTTACAGTATTGCAACAACACTGCATTTTATTTGTTCTTTAATTTAGTAATATAATCACATGACACATATGTACAACATTTTGTTTAAAAACACAATGAGCAATTGAAAATGTAACAGCTTGGAAAAGCAATTTTGTTCCTAAAAAAATTCTGATCAGTCTATATCGTGTTGAAATTGTCAAGAAAAGGTTTTAAATAATAATAACACAGGTCAAGTGATCAAGAATTGTTTATAAACAAAGGTCACATGCTGTTTCTCAATAACATTGCTAAGAACTACTAGTATAATCAATATAATAATATTTCTGGTGATCATAATATTCAACAAGATTTAAAAATAAATTGTCTTAGATTGTGCAACTGAAATTCCTTTAATTATTATTTTAAATTAATAATGAAATCTGGAGTAATGAATTTCTCTGTTTAATTATATTAATTTTTGTCAAAATCAATTCCACAAGTGTATTGTTGGTGCATAATTTGCCTTTGCTTGTTATTAGAGACCCCAAAAGGATAAAATTAATTTCAAATTACTTTGGTATGAACCAGACATTTTTCTCTTACTCATCATATTGGCAAGTTGCCAAAATTGCAAGCATCACTAATTTAACATAGGATTTTTTTTTTCAAACATAAAAATAAAATGGAACAGCTATAATCAGTAATGCCTACATTAACAAATATATTTTACTATGAAAAAATGATTTTCAAATGTATATTTAAAACTGAACTAAACCAAAGTGAGAGTTCCAGTACAACAACCAACGTTTGTTTTCATAATGAAGGTGGGCGTCACCCTAACCACGCGATCACTTGTGAATCACTCCAAAACAAGTCATAACATCATTGGCTAAAAATAGTCATGTGAGATCTGGTGTGTTTGAAACTGGCGAATAGCATACGAGGATATGAAAAGCGTGATGTAGCAAGTTATCAATCAACTGATGACGTAGATGAGAAAAAGGGTGTGTGGAGTCTCGTGATGTCTTACGACCAATAAAATCTGCGAATAAGCATGACGTCAATACCGGCTGTCAATCATTAGACCGGTCGCAACCAAAACATTGGCGATATTTTGCCGCGTCGCACTTAGGAACACGAGGTGAATTTTTACTACAACCAGTTTTTGCAAAAAATTGCCAGAAATTCAATAATCTTTTAATGACACAATAAATAGCAGAAACTCATAGTTAAGATATTCGGCCTCCTCGTGGTACATGTTTAAAAAATCTTCCGAGATAAATTGGA